GAGAGAGAGAGAGAGAGAGAGAGAGAGAGAGAGATCATTTATATTATGACTACATAAGTAATGCTTATTAAATATACTTTATATAAGTAATTTATAAATAAGAATATGGTGATGCAATATACAGTAAGTTATGCGTTATTTAGTATTGCGGAACATAATCTCATAGAAAACTGGACTATCATTAAATTTAAGTTTATTTACAATAGATTTGAATGCCGTGTGATTAGTGACAACAGTCCTATCTATTGACCACTCGTTATATGTGGCCAACACTTGCCGACACTCAGGCCGTTGTCGCCAAAAGGGTGTTGACATCATTGCCGCTAATGTTTGGTATAGACATTGTTGTGATATCTTGAATACGGATTCCTTGGCATTAAATGATTCCGAGCTTTAAATTAATTTATAATAATTTTATTATAATTTTTATTTTTTAAATTCTTTATAAAATACTTACGCCTGAAGATCGATAGCAAACAATTGCTGACCGATTAAAGAGAGACTATAAATGTCTGATTTATGGTTGTATTTACTCCTCGAAGTGACTTCGGGTGCCATATATGCAATGGTTCCCACAATTGAATGCTCGTATCGGTAGGCCGTCTGTTCATCGATGTTGTGATCGGTGGCCAAACCAAAGTCACATAATTTTACGATACGATTGAAGCCAATGTTGGCTGAAATTAATATGTTGTCGGGTTTGAGATCCCGATGAATGATCGGTGGATCAGATGAGTGAAGATATTCAACACATTCTAAGAGTTCTTTAAATATTTTACATGAAATATAATACTCAAAGACTTTCATTTCTTCTTCCGGTTGTCTCTCGAAGACAATGGGTTTGTCTTTGAGAACAGATGAAAGACTTTGTGAACAAAACTCCATTTGAATGAAGAGATGATTGGACTCAAGCCATGAGTTGTAATACTTTACCACAAATTCTGAGTCCAATTTTGCCAAACTTTTCACTTCTTTCAGAAGTTTTTGTTTCTTATCTTCACTAAAATCTGAGAAAATGTGTTTAATTTAAACAAAACAAATACACTTTTATTATATTTACCCCCGAATTGTACTCTTTTAACGGCATATATCTTATCATCCAATCT